TCATATGTACAATTTTAATGTACCAATAAAAGATGTGGAAAGAGAAAAAAAAGTATATTTGCATTTTCACATTCCAATTAGATGCTGCATAGAGATTATTGCCACTTTGGAAATTGTCTTTACTGAGGTTTTTGTATGTAATTACATACATAAATGAGTGCATAAAGAATACATAGTTTTGTTTCATGAAGGTGTTGTTATGTGTGTCTTTGTTCTTGGTGCTTTGACAATACAGTGCCTACCTTTCTTTCTGTTGTAATGCTGGTGATCAAGCCCAGGGCCTTGCGCATGCTAGGCAAGCGGTCTGGTCTGCCGCTGAGCTACATACCAGCCCCAGATGCATAATGTTCTTTTGTAAGCATTTGCTGCATTTGGTTAACCTACCCATACTGGTAAACTTGTAGGTTCTAGTCTCCCTCCCTTCTTTCTTCTCTTCTTTCCATATTGAATTACAATTGTCTTAATCACATATTTAATATCATAGAATTATATGTTACATTTGTTGGTGAGGAAAAAATTTCTCAATCATCTTAGCTTTTCTGGCTGGGCCTAGGAATTAAAATGACATAAGACAGACTAACAGGAGAAGAACATGAAGATGATGGTGGCACAATATGGTGAACATAATTAATGCCATTGAATCAAACACTTAAAATGGTTAAAATGGAAAATTCTATGCTATATATATTTTAACCAGAATATAAGAAATGTATAAAAATAGATAAGTGGAATTTCTTTTCTTTCGTAAGAGGTTTCATGTATTTATTAGAGAACCAATCTACAAGTGCAAAGCAGAGAAGGAAACACATCCAACTGCCTAGCCGGTGGCGACCTTTTCAGCTTGACATGGTAGGATGATCATGACCTTGATACAGCACAAATGTGGGCCACCTCAGGTGCAATTCCTTACAGATGCAGCTTGGTTCTCTTCAAATATCTCCTTTGGCGTACTACCTGAGTTTACTATCAGTTTTCATCTGGATTGATCCAGGGGTGGGCAATTTTGCTTTTGTTTTTTGCCCAGGAATCACTTGATCCTGAAAGTCTGGTGGGAAGACACTGGGAGAAAAATTCAAGCACACACTGTGCTACAGTGAAGCAAAGGCCAAGAGGCAGCAAGTGATAGAATACGTTTAGAAGGTGCTACCCAGGGCAGAGCTTAGGAGGTCACACCCAGTCTTGCCCACCGTGAATGCAAGTGTGTCTTGTGGGTGTGTCTTGGAATTTACTTAATTTTTACTTTATTTTTATTCCAATAAATATTCATTGAAGGCCAACTTTGTCCCAGGTACTGTACAACAGAATGATCAGGATGGTGACTTACAGCATGGCAAATTCAGTAAGAGGTGTCTCCTAAATTGCATGAAATCATCGTGACAACTGTAATGCACGGCTTATCTTTCCCCTCTTTCATGGTTGGGAAGGTTTGGATTCAAACCTTAACTTCATCAGTGAAGAGTGTATTCAGAAGTTCTTAGTAAATATCATATTTTTTCACTTGCTATTTCTCATGTTTTAAGAATATGAAATGCTTATTTAATACGGTGATTAAACTTTTTTTTGACATCAAAAGGTCTCTGAGTTAAAGGGTATATTAAGCTGTTACCCAAAAATAAAAGCTGCTGGTAGCTTAAGTAATTTGTCCTGGGACAATTTATTTTTATATAAAATATTTATTTTTTAGTTGTATTGGACACAATACTTTTATTTTATTTATTTTTATGTGGTGCTGAGGGTTGAACCCTGGGCCTTGCAAGTGCTAGGCGGAGTATTCTATTGCTGAGCCACAACCCCAACCCAGGACAAATTATTTTTATTTTTGGTACTGGGGGTTGAACCCAGAGGTACTTTACCACTAAGCCACATCTCCAGCCCTTTTTAAAATTTGTTTTTATTTTCAGGCAGGGTCTTGCTAAATTGCTGAGACTAGCTTTGAACTTACAATCCTCCGAACTCAGCCTTCTGAGAATTTCTAGGATTACAGGTATGTACCACCAAAAAATATTGAAATTAAGACATTCCACTTCTATATTTTTATATGGCTATTTTATTGTGGAAAATAAATATTTAGTATAAAATTTGTCCTTTTAACCATTTTTAAGAATTCCATTCAGTGGTGTTCTTATTACATTCACAATTTTGCCCTGGAACAAATTTTCTAAGCTCACAGCAGCATGGCCAGATAATAGTTGAAGAAATGCCCACCAGATCTAAGGAGTCAGGGTACAATATAATGAAAATATGAGCAGAAGAAAACAAATTGAATTGAATTTATATTGACTACAGATAGGAGGGGCAGGACAGCCAGGCACTATGGCACCAGACTGTAATCCTAGCCACTTGGGAGGCTTAGACAAGTGGATGATAAGTTTGAGGCCGCCTCAGTAACTTAGGGAGACCCTGTCTCAAAAAATTTTTAAAAAATTAAATAAATGAATAAATAGGGCTAGGATGTAGCTCAGTGGTAGAGCTGGGTTTAATTCCCAATTCCAAAAAAAAAAAAAAAGCAAGCAAAGTCTTGGGATGGAAAGTTAAGATAGAGATAGGGGTTTGGTATATAAAGAAAAGTTTTGCTGCATCTAGGTTGGTTGGTTCTAAAAGCAGAATTGATGTGGCCTTGATGGCTAATCTTCAACTTACAGGGCGAGAATGTGGAGCTGTTCTCTTTTTCTTTATTGATTTAGTTTGAAGTCAAACTTTATTGATTTAGCTGCGAATCAAAATAAACGTCTCTTATTTCATTGTTTTCTTTTTTCTTTCTTTGATGCTGGGGATTTGACCCAGGGGAGCTCTACCAGTATGCTACATCCCTAGTTCTTTTTGTTTTATATTGAGACAGGATCTCGTCCAGTCTGGCCTCAAACTTGGCAATCCTCCTGCCTCAGCCTCTGTGGTGAATGAACTATGCCATTAAAACAGACCAAACATATTTGTGTCTTTCCACAATGTCCAAATTTATTGAATAACTATAAATTCACATGCTACACAATTTTCAGTGATTGTAGTTCACCAAAACTCAAATACTTGTGGGTAAACTTATAGTAATAAGCAGGGCAATCACAGATTCTTCAATCTTAACTACTAATATTTGTTACATTCAAGTCACATATCATACTTTACACAAACAGATATATTTTATATATATGTATATATATACACACATATACATATACATACATACATATACATACACACACACACACACACACACAGTCACAAAGGTGAAGAAAGGGTGAGTTAATGTTTTCACAGGAATTTGAAGGATGAACTGAGAGCAAAGGCAGAGAGCAGGTGAATGCAGTCACTGTAGATGGTCAAATGAGATTAGGAACAAGCCAACTGGTCAAAGAACTTGTTCAGGGTCTAGAGGTGTCAAAACACAGAAACTTTTTCTAGGCCAGAATCCAGACAGACAGCAATATCAGAGTATCAGCTTGGAACAAACAGGCTGTCCATGATCAATACCAGCAGTAGAAATCATGCTATGCAGAAGCCCTAGGAGTGTTTTAGAGGTTTGGTGCTGTGATAGTTTTCTTGGGCAAGGCTGGTGAAGAGTGACCAGGTGATGGGGGCAGTATGTTGCTCTGTCCAGTCTTGGGGTGCTTCTTGTTTTATGGGCCTTGTGTGGGGAGGTCGCCTCCTTCGTTGTTCTGGTGTGTTCAATAATCTCATGGGCTGGCTTTTCTTCTTCTTCTTCTTCTTCTTCTTCTTCTTCTTCTTCTTCTTCTTCTTCTTCTTCTTCTTCTTATTGTTATTATTATTTGATATAGCCATGCATCCAAGTGCTTAAGATTAACTTGGTAAGTTCACAGGTGGTTATTTTTATTAGCATGATTAATTTTTAAAAATATTTTTAGTTGTGGACAGACAAAATACCTTTATTTTATTTATTTATATGTGGTGCTGAGGATGGAACCCAGTGCCTCACACATCCTAGGCAAGTGCTCTACCACTGAGCCACAGCCCCAGTGCTGATTAATTTTTTTTTTTTTATCAGTTTGTGCCTTTTGGTTGTGCTAGGCATATGCTTGTTTACTTGTACAAACAAGGTGTAGAATCATTCTATCTCAGCATTTATACTCAAAATGGAGTAACTCATGGCAAACTACTGCTTTATAAAATGAAGTAACTCAGGGTTAGGCACAGTCTGAAAACTACTATTCTGTACATCACAGAATAACTCAGAGCTGGGCACAGCCTGCTCTCCACAGTGTCCTACGTAGCTGGGATTACAGACATACATCACCACACACGGCAACATTTCCAAATTTTAATGCTCTCCATTATTTGAAAGCTTAGGTAGAACACTTGCCTTTGTATTAAAGCTCCTGTGCATCCTGTGTACATGTAAAACCAAACTAACCAAATTTTTGTTAGTGAGCATGTATATTTCTTACAGATAACTTGGTGATTTGCACAGGTTTGAGGATGCTGTGCTAATTTTCACTGGTTACAAGAATTCTATACCTTCCAAAGCTGATGCTAGAGACTTAATAAAGATTTATTAACCATATTAAACATTTTTTCCTTTGCTTTTGACCCCGTGTATAGCTATGATGCCAGGTTAGAATTATAGCAGCTTTAAGTTGTATAAAATGATATTTTGCTTTCTGTAATACGGTTATAAAATATAGCCTGTTTATTCTCTAAATATTAAAAAAATTCCTCTTTCCTATTTCTTGCCTTCTTTTCTGGCCTATAATTTAATTTAGGATAGGTTAGAATTCTTCTCTTATCACAGTTCTGTTGTATTTCTGATTTAGGAAAGGACAGCATGTTCTAAGTGCAGCTTCTCTTTCCTGTTTAGTCTTTGGTGGGCCTTTGCAGTGAAACCTAACTCTGTTTGTGCTTTGGTTTCATTTGCTTCCCTTTTCGAATCAGTGTCATCTTCCTGCTTGTATTTTTTTTTCCTTCTAGAGGGCAGGGCCTAGGGAAGGAGACCCCCCCACTTACTTTACAGATAGCAAAAAATTGGAAGCTTACAGAACAATACCATTGCTAGGATTGTTTTTGATCCTTCCATTTCCAAAATAAAGTTGCCGTTAGTGCTGGAGATGCTGTCGTCAGGATTCATTCCACAAAGAGCAAGATATAAAAATATCTCTCTGACAAGGATTTCCTCCTTTTCCCATCCTCTTGGCATGAACACCAGGAGAGGATCCCAGGCTGATTGGAGGCGTCATGCTGTCGTCAGTTTGAATCCCAGTGGTGGAGAAAGAAATGTGAATTACAACCAGCTAATGGTGGAGAAAAAGAGACTCAGGGAGATGCAAAAGCTCTTTGTGTTTTCTAGATGTTTCCTGAAGGCTGGCTTGTTTGGAAAGCCTCATCACTCTGGGAGCAGCTGCATGGTTCACGCTGGAGCTGAGAAGTTTCATCTCAGATTCTTCCTCTTGCCCTGAGAACTAGCAGGAAGGGTCACTCCTGGATGGACATTTGTCTGAGTAGCAGGTTTGGATCCTAGTTAATTAAGTCTCTCAATCACCGTTGTCCCTGTGCTGAGGTTGGACTGCTTTCCCTCTGACATCTCAATTGGGGTGAGTTTTCTATATTTGTTATTTTATTTTATTTTATTGTATTTCATTGCTGGGGATCAAACTCAGGGTCTTGCATGTGCTATACAAGTGCTCAGCGCTATTTTAGTTTGTTTGTCTTCATGCTAAGTAGAAAATCTTAATTCTTTTTTGATTTCTGCCTTAACAAATGTGTTACTTAAATGAGTACTTCTTATATTTTAACATACGTATGAATCACCTGGAGATTTATTAAACAAACAAAAAAACAACAACAACAAAACAAGGTCGGGGTTGCAGCTCCGCGGTAGATTTCTTGTTTAACATGTGCAAGCGCCTCCATCTGATCCCCAGCACTATAAACAAACAAAAACAAAAACACCAAAAATCCAGCCTGGAGTGGGCCTGAGATTCCCACAGCCTTTCAGATGACCTCCATTCGGTGGCCTATGTTGATGTTTCGATTTCTAGAAGGTGTTGAAAGATGTGGGTGGAATGCAGGAATCTGGCTGAAAACATGATGTATGTCGAGCACTTGAGAAGAAATCAGAAAACATTCCTGCCTTGGTTGTACCTGCCTGGATGGACTGTCTCGAAGTTTTGAAGTTTCAATTCCTAGATTTAGTAAGACAGGTCACTTTAAATGAGAGATGATGTAGAGCTTTTCCTTAGATTATATGGACTACTTTAGGCAAAGTCAGAAATCTCTTTGTAATTTTAGTATTACCTGTCCGTATCACGCTTCATCTGGTGTGGCTGCTGATCACTTTGTACATTTTGGTTTCTATTAAAAATAACGCATGTGCAGGGTGGCTCGGGAGGCTGAAGCAGAAGGATCATGAGTTCAAAGCCAGCCTCAGCAATTTAGCCTGGCCCTAAGCAACTCAGACCCTGTTTCAAAATAAAATACAAAAAAGAAAAAGAGCTGGGGATGTGGCTCACTGACATTTGCAAGAAAATGGGTAGAACTAAGGATCATCATGTTAAGTGATATAAGTCAAACTCAGACGATTAAGGCTCCTATGTGTTCTCTCACATGTGGAAGCTAGAAAGGTAAAAGGAAGACAAAGGTGGGGGTGGATCTAAGAATTAAAGGGAGATCAGTAGAGGAAAGGTGGGAGGCCAGGTGGGAAGGGAGAAATGTTGGGGGAGTGATTTTGGCCAAATTATATTGTTGGATTGTGTAACAACAAGTCCCATCAATATGTACACATATAATGCACCAATTAAAAGTGTGGAAAAAAATAATGCATGCTGGAAAAATAACTGGTTTCTTCCCCCTATTATTTGGAATTGTAAGGCATATGAATCTATTATATTTATAAAAATCAATTTGAGTAAAGGTAAAAACGAATCTGTTTTGTCTGAGGCCCAAGAACACTGTTTTCTTTTTCTTTTTTTTAAATCTGAGTAATTCCCTGTCCTGAACAATATATGTACTTATCTGAAAGTTGCCTTTAACACAAGGCAAAAGAGGAAAAATGGATAGGTAGGATGTGTACCTGTTCTGTCTCTAGTCGAGGAAGAATATAGAAATGGTAACAAAAAGGGGAAAGAAAGGAGAATAGTGGTTGGGAGTCCACAGGAGATGGAGCCGCATAAAATGAATAAAAGAAAACTTAGCCTGAAATAGAATCTTTGACATTCCATTCTAGAGCAGTAGCTTGTGTCTTCCTTACTTGGAGAAATGTACTGGGGATGGTAGGTAAGTTTGTTTCTCCCGTGAACTTGCTGAAGCCATTTGTCACTCTGTTCTGGAATCAAAGGTCAAAAGGATGAACAGGTCTGGTGAGGCCTAATATGACTGTACTGAACCATTTCAAAAAGATAGGAGTCTCAGCTTTTGAACTAAGCTTCTAATAACATTCCCCTCTTTCATGGGGTATAACCACAGGAGTTACTAAAAACCGAGGGGCTGGGATGCAACCCAGTGGTAGAATATGTGCTTAGTATATGTAAGGCTCTGGGTGCCATCCCCAGCAACAAAATAACAATAATAATAAAAGTCTAAAGAACCTGATAACACAAGTATCGACCAAGCAGAACTCAAGATGGCTGTAAGTAATTCATTCAATAGCCCATGGCTGATAGGTGTTAAGCAGGTACCTAAAAGCCTCAGTGACCCTAGGTTTAAACTTTTTGAGGCATTGTAAAGCTACAGTGATTTGAAACTTACACTCAGGTTTCTACGGCCATCTGCCCAACACTCTGGCCGCAATCTCCCAGGTCAGGCCACTTCCTTTTCAGCCCATCTCTTTATTCCAGCTACCTCCTCAACAAACACTACAAAAAAGAGAGTTCTCCTGAGTCAGAAATCATGGTAGTCTGCTTTCCATCACTGTGACCTGAGAAAATCAACTTAGAGGAAGAAAAATTTGTTTCACAGGTTCAGAGGTGTCAGTGTATGGTCACTCAGCTCGGTTGATTCTGGGCTGGTGGTGAGGCAGAACATCATGGCATGTGTGGGCCAGGAAGCAGACAGAGAGGTAAAAGCCAGGGTCCCAGCCCCCAGTGACCTACTTCTTCCATGTAGGCCCCACCTCCTAAAGTTTCTATCACTTCCCAGCATGGTCACCAGCTAAGGACCAAACTTTCAACACCAGAGCTTTGGGAGGGCATTCCAAATCCAAACTGTAACAAGGTATTTGTTCTTTTGAAAAGAGTTGAAACAGAAAATGAAACTTGATCACCACACTATCCCACCTGCCATAGAAAATACTGTCACCGGTCACCATTTCCCACTTGAGTTTTCACAACCATCCAGGAGTGTGGGTCAAGGAGGTGTTATTTTAACATTTGAATAAAGAAATGGAGGCTCCTCTTAACGAATTTGCCAAAAGGTACACAGCTGGTCAGTGGGTGTGCTGGGATTTAAACATAGGCCTATTTGCTCTAACTTTACATGTTTACTGTATTTTTCTTTCTTTAGCGTCTTTTCAAGATCTGTGATGACCTATATTGTTCTGGACTAAGGTCTGTTTTATTTACATTGTGGTTTAAGACCTATACATTAAAAAGAATCCTAATTCTACTTCTTTTGTTAAAATTATTTATATTTAGCTTTTAGTTTTAGAGCAGTGCTTCTCAAACTTTATCATGCTTAAAACTCACCTGGGAACCTGGCTAAAATTCAGGTCTTAAAAATTCTGATTCAGTAGGTCAGGCCTGAGGTCTGAGAATTTACATTTCTCATAAGCCCCCTGGTGATCTTGATGCTACAATCCAGAGGCCATGCTTCTGGAAGACAGGCACAACTCCACTCAATATCATATGGGACCACATTTATGGACTAGTGTGGGGGCTTAGTGTGTTTAATAACACAGATGATAGAGGCAGAAATCCTGGGTTTCAATATTGATACCATCACATGTGAGATCCTGGGGAAGTGAACCCTTCTATGCCTCAGTTTTGTCATTTGTAAGTTGAGAACAGCACATATTACCTACTTCATAAAGTATTTGTGAGGATTAAGTGATTTAACAGTTCTGGTCACAAAGCATCTCTATGTGAGTTTGTTGATGTTATGACTAAGTTTTTCTCAAGTCATAATTGTACTTTAGAAATACCAACAAGAAATCACACAGATGTCAAATACTCTTTGGTGGAGGTATGGAGGTATTAACCCACGTTTAATCTTGTTCTTGTTTGTGTGAGTAGGTGTCCTGGTCTGTCAGGTCTCACGTCTCATGAATGGGAGGGTCAGAAAATGATGCTGAGAAGTTGGCTAGGGTCTGATCGTGCAAGGTCTTACATATCATCCTAGAAGCTTAAACTTGACACTGACAGTGATGAAATAGTCATAGATACAGTAAGTTGGGCCGTTCAATCAGAATGCATTCTAGAAATGTCTCTTGCTGCAATGTGGAGGCTAGTTTGGAAGAAGGTGAAGCTGGTGACAGAAAACTGGGCTGTTGAAATAATCCTAGACAGAAATAATAAAGACCTGAAGTGAGGCATTAAGGCAAAGGATTGAGCAGGAATCTCAGGGTTCAGGTGATGGAAGGAGAATATGCCATGACTCAAAAAAGAAATATGACATCAATAGACTTAAAAATAAGAACCATATGATCATCTCGATAGATGCGGAAAAAGCATTCGACAAAGTACAGCATCCCTTTATGTTCAAAACTCTAGAAAAACTAGGGATAACAGGAACATACCTCAATATTGTAAAAGCTATCTATGCTAAGCCTCAGGCTAGCATCATTCTGAATGGAGAAAAATTGAAGGCATTCCCTCTAAAATCTGGAACAAGACAGGGATGCCCTCTCTCACCACTTCTGTTCAACATAGTTCTCGAAACACTGGCCAGAGCAATTAGACAGACGAAAGAAATTAAAGGCATCAAAATAGGAAAAGAAGAACTTAAATTATCACTATTTGCAGATGACATGATTCTATACCTAGCAGACCCAAAAGGGTCTACAAAGAAACTATTAGAGCTAATAAATGAATTCAGCAAAGTGGCAGGATATAAAATCAACATGCATAAATCAAAGGCATTCCTGTATATCAGGGACAAATCCTCTGAAATGGAAATGAGGACAACCACTCCATTCACAATATCTTCAAAAAAAATAAAATACTTGGGAATCAACCTAACAAAAGAGGTGAAAGACTTATACAATGAAAACTACAGAACCCTAAAGAGAGAAATAGAAGAAGATCTTAGAAGATGGAAAAATATACCCTGTTCATGGATAGGCAGAACTAACATCATCAAAATGGCGATATTACCAAAAGTTCTCTATAGGTTTAATGCAATGCCAATCAAAATCCCAACGGCATTTCTTGTAGAAATAGAGAAAGCAATCATGAAATTCATATGGAAAAATAAACGACCCAGAATAGCAAAAACAATGCTAAGCAGGAAGTGTGAATCAGGCGGTATAGCGATACCAGACTTCAAACTATACTACAGAGCAATAGTAACAAAAACAGCATGGTACTGGTACCAAAACAGGCGGGTGGACCAATGGTACAGAATAGAGGACACAGAAACCAATCCACAAAACTACAACTAC